AAATAAATAAATAAATAAATAAATAAATAAATAAATAAATAAATAAATAAATAAATAAATAAATAAATAAATGAATGAATGAATGAATGAATGAATGAATGAATGAATAAATAATTAATATCCTGTGGAGTTAAGTCTCAAGTGTATTTTTTAAAATCTGTGTATCATACCTAATTTATCAGGACCTAACTACAGGAATTAACTTTTAAAATTGCATTTGAAGAATATTCATAGCATTTAATGGAAACACTGATGTATATGAAAATAATGCAGGCAAGAAAAACAAACTTGAAAAATACACTGTCTCCTCCACAATAACATACTAAATGGTTTCTTACGCTGGGACTGCGAAACTACTTTAGCCCGACTGCGGCCTCGAGTGTCAGCAGGTGTTGAAGTGATACTACTGGTGCTTCCAGAGCTTTGCCTCCTTGTGCGAATTCGACCTGAGGAAAGAAAAAAAGAACAGAAAACTGACAGTTAAACTTTAATGTGATTGTGGTTAATATTCTTTCACTCATGCCTCAGTTAATAGTTTTGCAATCTCACTAAAATGAGAAAATTGTAACAAGAGGGCGAAATTGGATTCCCCAAATTAGGAATCTGATGTAATTCCCCCATTTATATACATTAACTAAAATGGAAGCTTTCTACTTAGTGCAATATACCAATCACTAAAGCTGGGCATGGTTCTAAAACGATTCTGAAGTAGGTGGGAATTTGTACAAGCTCATTAAAGCACTCCTATCTTATTCAGACTTCTGAACAAATATGAAAAAAGACATGGCTGCCTTAATGAGTAGCAGAGAGACTCTGTATTCATATGGCTTCTAATGAATATTTTCCAAACCAGTTTAGAATCATGCTCAACTTTAGAAATTATTTATCTTATTAAGGCAGAACTCCAGACTCAACACACCAGGAAAGAATTATATAACAAAATAAACTATTTTTAAAGCATACTGCAAACAAAAATTAATTTCCACCAGAACTAACAGGAAAAGGGGGGGAAAAAGAAGTATAGTCCTGTAACTTGCATAATGCTTAAATTATCAAGGCAAATACAAAACCAGAAGATAAAGTTGGGATTAAAGAGACAGAACTAAGTGTGAATGTAAAAAGGAAAGAACTACTGGAACATGTGCTAAGAAGAAATGAATGGCAGTATCTTCAAATTAATATTAAATAGGATTAAGCAACATGACTCTTATTTCACTCACAAGAAAAAGAGATTCCTTTGCCTGCAGATCACAATACTATTATTTATGATAATTAATTTATATGAATCTCTCTGGTGCTTCCATAGGCCTAATGTCATCCATCAGATAAGTTTTCCAGTAATCATTTTTGAGGGTATCATAATAAAGAGGTCCTATGTATGTAGAAACTAATTAGAGTTCCAGCTAACATGGAGAAAGACCAATGTGTATACATTTCTACCTACATAAGGCCACTTCATATTGGTACCAATCATGCAGTTACCAAGAGCTATGACCAGATTAGGACTGTTTGTCTTGTTTTTAGAAAAAGGTTTTATTGGCCATCACTATCAGGAAATACAGTGGTGCTTAAAAGTTTGTGAACTCTTTTGACTGTTCGAATTTCTGCTATTACCTAAAACCATATGGAGCTTAGCCACACAATTAGATCTGTTCCACAATAAAGTGGACATTGTTTTTATGCAGGATACTATCCAATTCAATTCAATCCAATCATGAATATATAACAAGGAAATTAAAAACATCAGTATAGTACAGTTATTTAATTAACTGAAGTCTTGTCTTCTTTTAGGGAGTGCCACATAAATTAAGAAATTTCTAGGAAGACTTTTTCCATTATATTTATACTTTTCTTTTAGTACTCTGACAATTATCTGTCTAAAACAGTTTGAAGTTGGTTTTGTGAATATCATCATATTAATGATGTAAATTGTTTAGGAAAGGACACTTGAAGATTATAATAAAAATGAAGGACAATAAAACATACTGGCCTATTTCCCCTTTCAGAGTCAAAAAAGCAACTTCAATTATTATTAAAATAATGTCATTAGTTAGCTTGCTTATCCAAAAGGCCTCTCTAGCATCCACTATCCTTTGTATAGAGTTGGATGCAAACAAAATACTGTTTACAGCCTGATTCTACAAAGAATTTATTTATTGTCAAATTTCTGAGACACTCCTAAGATTTATTAGAAGTCGAAATTCATATACTTAAACAAGTAAAAAACATAAAAGAAAATTTCATTTTATACTTTGAGGGTCAAATAGCTTTAACTAAGAGCCAAATATGAAAGGTATATGAGAGTGCTTGAATTGTTAATAAAATGGTCCTTTGGAAAGTTGAAAAAAGGATAAAGTTAAGGCTGAGTTATGAATGGGCCTATGGAGGATTACTACGTTAGAAAAAAATTATCAATCTCCTTTTAAGTTTTCTCATTCCCAAATTATTCTGCATTATTATAGTTTAGACAGAATCTGCAGTAAGCTTTTATTACAATGATTTTATTGGCATACTATTATCTAAACTGAATATGGCCTTTTCATCTAAAAGAAAAGAGGGATAAAGAAGTAAAAGAATACAATATCCAATAATACTTTATCCAGTACAGTTTAATACTGGTATGTACCTTTAACTCTGTTACTCTCTGTTAAAATAATGGGCATGCTAACACAAATATTCTCTCTAGATTTACTCAGACCAGTCATAATCCACTTTTCTTTATCACCCATAGCACTATTTCAGATGCATACTGGTCTATTTTATTATGGCAATTATAGTTCAAAAAATCTCAATACCATGAACTGTTAATTAGAAATCAGCACTACTTAAATCATGTCCAGATATCTTGAGAAAAACATTGAATGAATAAATAAAGTCAATATCTTTCAGTAGATAGATCCCTTCAGTTGGATACAACTGGTATTTATCTTGAACCTAGGTTTCCCAATTAGGAAAGGAATATGGAGTCACATGTCAGAGGTGGTATTCAACCTGTTCGCACCAGTTTGGGTGAACCGGTAGTGGTGATTTGCATGGGTTGCCGAACCGGTGGCGACCCCTGGCTGGCCATGCCCCTGACCCAGTCGCCCAGTCAATCACTTGCCCTGGTTGCTCTCCTAACTTTCCCTACTATGTGGCGGCCACGGCGCAGCTCAGGCGGATGTCCTATGGCTGCTGCACATGCGCACTGCCTGTGCAGCCATTACACATGCAATGCGCATGTGCAGTGGCCCCGGGACATTCACCCGCTTGCCTGCCCTCCTGCAACATGCTTTCTTCCTTCTCCTGGTGGATGTGCCTCTTCCAATCCAGCCCAGCCAGCCAGCAAGTGGCCATATGTCCAGCCACCCGTTTTTCAGTGCAAGAAGCCTTCCCCCAACCGGACAGCTGCTCTCCTCCTTCTCGGCCTGTTTGTTCTGTATGGCCTGTTCTGTATGGCGAAAGGGGTGGCTGGAGACCGAAAAAGAGTTGCCTCCAGCCACCCCTTTTTCAGCGCAAGAAGCCTCCCCCAACCGGCTGACTGCTCTCCTCCTCCTCGGCCATAATACAGAACAAAAAGGCAGAGAAGGAGCAGAGCAGCCGTCTGGTTGCACTGAAAAGGGGCGGCTGGAGACCAAAAAAGAGTTGCCTCCAGCCACCTCTTGCACAGCGCAAGAAGCCTGCCCCAACCGCCCAACTGCTCTCCTCCTCGGCCATACAGAACAAACAGGCAGAGAAGGAGGGAGCAGCCATCTGGTTGCGTTGAAAAAAGGGCGGCTGGAGGCGACTCTTTTTCAGTCTCCAGCCGCCTCTTTCGGAGTGCTGCACCACTCTGCTCGGACTTGCTTAGGCAAGTTCCTTCCGGTGCAATGGGCTAAATGGAGTGGGCCTGCGTGGCTGGTGCCTAAAACGCAATGGCGGCGCATTGGAGAAACAAAGCAAAGCCGCTGCAAGAACCCTATAGCCACCATGTGTTTTTTTCAGTGGGGGAGGAAGGAAAGTTAAGGTTTCAGGCAGTCAGGAAAGCCAAACCGAAGCTGCCTAGCCCAGAGCTGCCGGCTGGAGGGGGGGGATGCTGCAGCACACGCCTCGCTTGAATTTCCCAGCCCCAAAAGCAGGAGGGGAGGAAGTCCCACCCACAGCCCCTTTGATAGACCCGGAAGACTTGCCTGGTGGCTTTTTCGGGCAATAAGGGACCGGAGACTGGCCAGGAAGAACCCTTGTAATGAGCTATGCTGCCGGGCGCTTGGAAGCGTGTGTGTGTGTGTGTTCCAGGTGGGTCTCCTCTCCTAGCTTTAGAAGGAGAGAGGGAAGGAGGAAGGGAAGGGATAGAAAGAGAGGGAAACAGAGAAAGAGGGGGAAGAGAGAGAGAGAGAGAGAGAGAAAGAGAGGGAGAAAGAGAGAGAGAGAAGAGAGAATGAAAGAAAAAGAGAAAAGGGAAAGGAAGAAAGGAAAAGAGAAAGGAAGAAAAGCAAAGAAAGACAGGGTGGAAGGGAGAGAAAGAAAGAGAGAGGAAGTGAACGAGATATATGAATGAATGGATGGATAGATAGATACATGGAAGGAGGGAGGGAGGGAGGAAGAGAGAAAAAAAGAGAGGAAGGAAAGACACAAACCCTGGCTTCAGAAGACTCTTTGAAACAGCACAGCAATCTAGGGCTGGAAGGGATCGGAGGTCATCCTCTTGTCCAAATGTCTTCAAACTTGGCAAGATTAAGACATGGATTTCAACTCCCAGAATTCCCGATCTAACATGACTGGAGGAGGAATTCTGGGAGTTGAAGTCCACAAATCTTAAAAGCTGTCAAGTTTGAAGGCCCCTGTTCTAGTCCAACCCACTGCTCCAGCAGGAGATCCTTACAGAATCATAGAATAGCAGAGTTAGAAGAAACCTTGGAGGCCATCTAGTCCAACCCCCTGCTCCAGCAGGAAACTTTATATCATCTGAAATCTGAGAGGAACAGAGAGGAAAATTGGCAGAGGAGTTTCCTAGGACAAGGCTGCCATGCAGAGGAAGGCAGAGATAGTCCTTCACTTATGACCACAATTGAGCCCAAAATTTTGGTTGCTAAGCGAGAGTTGTTAAGTGAGTTTCACCACATTTTACTCAATCCATGATATCTCCTGGGTCTGTGCAGGCTAGGGAAGTAAATCTGAAGGTGTGTGCAATGTTCTAATGTACAGAAGTTATAGTTAAATGTGTGGCAGAAAGTGGACTGTGGGTATGTTTTTCCAAACGCAGTGAGGTTGAATGTGTGTAGTTTTAGAAGAGCTGTGTGTGTATGTGTACATACACATACAGTATATATAGTAGATAATGTATCTTTTTGTGTGCGTTTACACACACTATACTGTGTACACGTATGGCATATACACATAGGATTAAATAGTGTATTTTGGATATTCAGTAATAGAAAATAGAGAGGGAAATTGTATCTCTTTGAGGCCAGGCAAGGCACCCCTTGAC